TTTTGATTTAAGTTTGCTTGTTTAGCGTTGTCACAGTTGCTAGGTGACATGACGTACGCCGGGGTAAGGAGGGGAGGCTAGACCGTCCAAATTCACAGCCTCTTCCTGGTCTACCAAGGACCCAACCCACCTCGACCGGGTAGTCTGGGTCCTCCGGAGGACCCGGTCTGTCGTTTTGGACACAGCAAACCTCTTAACTGAATTCAAGATGGCTGCCAGAGCTAATCAAACTTATTTATCTCTTTTACAAATATTGAGCTATGGCAGTGGTTCTCAATTCTGGTCCTCATGACCCACTACCCTTCAGTTGTTTCACTGCTCTTCAGCATGTCTTTAAGTTCTGCAGAAGTCTGCCAATCACTCGGTCATTTAAATCAGGTTGCCAAAGCAGGGAAACAACTAAAACATGCAGGATAGAGGGTCATGAGGACCGGAATTGAGAAACTCTGAGGTAAGGTTTGGTGTTGTAGATGAAAATCATCCACAACACACTGATTGCCAACACACAAGATCTCACCTAATTATCTGAGATTGTGCATGAAATTATTTTCAAGATTTGACAAAGAGCTTGTTCATTTGTCAATGTGAATTAATGTAGTTTATTCATTTAGCACCGATTCATGACTTCTCAGGGCAGAGAAAACTAGTCCAAATCAAAATTCTAATTCAGATCCCAAATCAAATCTAATCACAATTAATTCAATTCCTATTACAGTACAGTCACAAACGAGACATTCTGAAAATGATAATTAGTGAATATTATCTATTTGTGGAGGCCAACATTTTGCCTCTTGCATTTAAACTCTAGCATGAAAGGTCGTGGGTAACAAACATTCCTCCTAAGTCTTTAATTTAATAGCTACTTTTAAAAAAATGACCAAATTCCTTTTTGCCTTTAAGCCAACATGCATTGTCAAGTGTAATGTAATAAAACAACATATTCTCCCTCTGTCTCCTGCACAGGCAGTGTTGATGGGAAGGCACTGGTGGATAAAGTCATGACCTCAGTGAGAGGAGGAACTCTTGAAAGTGCTGTCGTTATGAGAGCAAGGCTGAATAAAGAGGGGACCATGGACATTGATACGTACCAACAATGGGCCCGGACCATCGCAGATTCTCCTGCACTCCTTAACAGCGAGGTATGTGTAATGCTATGGGTGTTACTTACTTACGCACGTATGTACGAACGTCATAGTGGGCTGGGGAGTATGGGTGAAAAATACATCAGGACATGTCTCATATTATATATTATTATTATTACTTACGTATGTATGAACGGACAGACGGATGAACGTACGTCATAGTGGGCTGGGGAGTTTGGGTGAAAAATACATCAGGATATGTTTCATATTATTTGATTTCAATAATTATTGATTCATTTTTTGTTTTACCTTTTTGAAATAAGGACAAGGAGGAAAAGGGTTGATTAATACTGCCAAACTAGTGGTGTGTGTCAGGTTTAGACATAGAATGACCCAGGGCACAGGCAGAGTTCAGGTGTAACAAAAATATGGTCTTTATTAAATCAAAAAGCTGACGAGGCAGCTGG